CACCTTGTTTGGGATTCTCTGTGCTTGTGTGACTTTTTTCTTCCCCACCTCAGGGAAGTTTTCTGATATTATTTCCTCAAATAGGTTTTCTAACCCTTGTTCCTCTTTCTGTTGTTCTGGCACCCCTATTATTCGTATGTTGTTTCATTTCATGTTGTCCCATAGCTTCCTTAGGCTCTCCTCTTGTCTTTTAATTTTTTTCTCCAATTGCATTTCAGTTTGGGTGTGTTTTGCTTCCCTGTCTTCTAATTCGCTAATTCGGTCCTCCGCTTCTCCTAGTCTACTGTTGAAACTTTCAATGGTGTTTTTTTATTGCAGCTATATCACTCTTCATTTCTTCTGGGTTCTTACATAAGTTATTTTTTTTCATCCATTTATTTTTGATTCTTACATAAGTTGTTGATTTTTTTCATCTGTTTCTTCTTGATTCTTGCATAAGTTGTTGATTTTTTCCTCCATCCGGTTTATGCATTCTAGGACCCTTAATCTGAATTTTTTTTTCAGTCATGTTGCGTGCCTCTGTTTCACTTAGCTGCTTTTCTGGTGAGTCCTCCTTTTCTTTCCTTTGGGGGTTTCTTTGTCTACCCATGTTTGATCTTACCAACATATCTAGATGTTGAGTCGTTCAGGGGCTGCTCCTTGGGTGGCAGTGGCTCTTCGGGCTGTGGTTGCTCCTCGGGCAGTTGTGGTAGCAGCTGCTCCTCAGTTGGCAGCAGCTCCTCTGGTGAGTGCTCTTCATAGCTGTGGTGGCTCCTCTGGCTGGTGGGGGGAGGCTTCACACACAGCTGCTGTTCCTAAGACAGAGAGTGTGCTGATCACGAGGCTGCTGTTCCTTGGATGGGGGCGGGCTACACACACAGCTGCTACTCCTTGAACTGTTGTGGACTGCTCACGTGGCTGCTTTTCCTTGAATTGGGCAGTGATTAATATTTTTATAATTTTCCTTCATGTTTCATTTACTCAATAGTTTATTATTATTAATCCTCACCCAAGGATATGTTTTCTTAAAAATTCTGAGTACAGAACTGGGTTACTGGGGCTGTGTTGTGGCCTCTCTTTCTGAGTCTATGTGGTGGGGAAATCTTCCATAACCAGCAGATGAGTGGTTTGTCAGAGCTGTCCCAGGACAATTCTTGCTTAACAGATTCTGTCGACAGGTTCAGAGGTGTCCATCCACTTTCTCCAGATTCCGGCCGGGTCCTAGGCTGAGGTCTGGGAGCGCCCAGAGTTCCCTCAGGTTCAATTCTGCTAAAATCAGCAGCAGGCGCCTTCCGGAGGTCTCTCCCGCGCCCCTGGGCCTCAAACCCCGTCCACTCACCAGATGGCTAATCAAAGCCAAAACGCGGTAACTTCCTGATTCAGGGAACCATCCCTAACAACCCTTTTAAAACATTGTATCTATGATTATAACTTTTAACTAAAGGCCCAGTGCATGAAATTCATGCATGGGTAGGGTCCCTAGTGGCTGCTGGCTGCCAGCTAGGGCCTCCCTTCCCCCGGCTGCCTGCTGCTGCCGCCCCTTGGTGGTCAGCTCACATCTAACTCCTGGTCGGTTGAACTCCCACCCATGGGGACAATTTGCATATTAGCCTTTTGTTATATAGGATGGCTTGACTTTGTGCATAAGCCAATCAAGTTTGTATGTTAATACCAACTAAATTTGATATTGCATATTATCATTTTTATAAATTGCTTCTTTTATGTTTTGTGTGTTAACAGCATATTATCTTACATAATTTCTCAAAAAGAACTGTGGAGTGGTGTTTCGATATTACTAATGCTGAGAAACTTTTCAAAGAGGGCATATTCGAGTTTAATTTATTAAGTGGGACTCTACTACCAAATGAAGAGTATAAAGTTTTCTTAAGGTTTTGTCCAAGTAAGTAGTTTTTCCTATTTTGTTGTTGATATTTCAGTTTATTTTTCACATATTGTTTTATCATGTATGCAAAAGTTTAACTTATTTGTTATGTGTTTTAAAAACTGTTTTAAGAAGTTTCTTAGTAGAATTTTATAGTAATCATACTAAAAAAATTCACTGCCAGTGGTCCTCACCTACTGGTATTCTTGCCATTGTAATCCTCTTTCACATCAAATAGGGCTGATATATAACCCATGGGATATTATGGATGTGATGGTGTGGGCCTTCCAAGGCTAGGTCAGAAAAGGCATTGCGTCATCTGGATAGTACTCTTGGATTGCTTGTTTTTGAGGAAGCTGGCCAGCATCTCTATTTATCTATATTTCCACTTTATTTCTGGTGTGTTTTTTTAAGTTAAAGAAATTTTATTGTATCTTTTTATAATTGGTCTGACAAATTTTCTCTCATTAAATATCTATTACAAAAATTTATGGCAGTTCTTACAGTTACTTTTTGAAACAAACTTTAGTTTTTTTTTTTTTCCAGTTTCTAAGAAAAGGCACGTAATTGACTTTTTCACTTTAGAGAATGTTTCTAACTTTCTATCCCTCTCCTTTCTTCTCTGAAAAAATCAATAAAATAAAAAATTTATTTTATAGGCATCATTATTGCTAATGAGATTTTTTTTCCATTCTTTTAAATTAACTAGCATTGTATAAAAGGAATATATTTATACTTTATCTGGCACTTCTGTACCAAACTTCCCTGGTTAGATCTGGAAGTTTTTCAAATATTATTCTACATTGTTTTTTAAGAAAATAGTTTATAATATAAAACCTTGGTAATTAATAAAGTTGTCTCTCTTTTTACAATATTTATTTTTTCTCTTCCTCTTCCCCTTTTCCTTATTCTTCCCTATCCTCCTCCTGAATCTGTTAATACAATGTTACTATAGTACAATAACATTACATTAAATTATAATTGTATTATAGTTGTAATCTCTCTGAATGTATTATTATAATGGCAGTTTGTTTAAATTTTGATTCCAAAAGTTTTGCTCTGTATATTTAGATGTTATGAAAAGTTTGTCTAATATACATTTCACAAATATACATTTCACAAATAAGTACATGCATTTTAAAATATTGATTTTTTTCTACAAAATGCTATTTTCATAAATGATCTTTATGTGCTACATTTTGTCTTCCTTTTTCTACCTTTGGCTGATATATCTCTTAATTTTCCGTCTTTGTCTTTTAAAATTAGAATAAATATTATAAACCAAAAGACCACAAGGTGAAATTCCTGTGTTGAGCACCTGCTCAGTAGAAACCAAGATATCACCTGGGGAGTTTCTTCTACTATGAGGCATGTGCAGTAGGAGCCACGATAGCAACCATAGAGAGAAAGTGTCTAATCTGGGAAAAGGATTGGAATAGATAAGGAACACAAAACCCTAGATGATCTAGGAAATGGATTGGTTAGGAGGAGGGTCCAGCACAAGCCTGCAAAGGATTGGCATATTGATTGGTTAGTTGAAAGAGAGTCTGGTCCTTTCCAAGCCCAAGATAATATAATAAGAGCCTAACAAAGGGAAGCTCTCTCTCTCTCTCTCCTGGTAACATGGGTCTGTTCGCCCGTGCTTTCACCTGTTATCTCTCTGTAGCAGCCATGTGGGCCTAGCTGTTGCATTGGGCCCAAGTGCAGGTATGCCTCTCCAAGGGCTCCAAGTGGGCTACAAACATGAGCCTGGTATCGAGTATGGCAATATAATACCAGCCAGAGCACAATAAGAAACAGAAGTTAAGCTAGCTAAATGGGGACAGACACTGAACTAGACAACCAATGGCACAGAATGTGTGGATCCTGGCCTTTCTTCTGGGCTTGGTAAAGACAAGACTTGGTTTCTTCCATAGCAGGATGGATGGAGATGAGACACTGGGAACCTGGGGGCAGTCTTTTATTCCTATTCCAATAAATATTACACTATATCTCATCCTCCCATATATGGCTCCCCAAATGCTTTTCTTGCAACTCCATGAAGGACCCTATTTCAAACAACAACACATGGAGGACTGGATTTTCAGATTTTCTAAACATCACCTGAAAATATTTAATGTATACTTGTAACTTACTTTAGGTATTTGAGTGTTTGATTCTTACCTTTCTTGTTAAAAATGGAAGCATTTGTTTATTTCTAAAATATCTTCTAAAAATTATGGGCTGAAAATACCTGTGACTAGTAAGAAGATTGAATCAGCATTAAAAATTTCTCAACAAAGAATAACCCAGAACCAAATGGCTTCACTGGAGAATTCTACCAAATCTTTAAAGTAAAACCAATGTTCTCAAAAATCTTCTCAAAAACTGAAGAGGAGGAAACATTTTCAAACTTATTTTATGAAGAAAGCATTACCTTGATACAAATTCTGGACAAATAGATGATATGAAAATAAACTAAGGCCAATAGCCTTGATAAGCATAGAGGTAAAAATCTTCAAGAAAATACTAGCAAACTGGAAAAAAAAATACCTAATAAATTAATTGAAAAAAAATGATACTAATAAACTAAATTCAACAGCACATTAAAGGATCATACTGTGGCTAGACCCTGTTATACTGGTCATTGAGCACAGCTGCCTTCTATTCTTAGGACTTTAAAGAGTTTTAGTGAGGTGGTTTTTACTTTTTACACCTCCTTTAGTTTATTTTCCTTTGACTGCCACAGGGATGGAGGCTGGGATGTGATAGTATATATGACTCACATGAGTCTCTAAGTAAGTTTCCAATTCCCTCTGAATTTGAATCGCTATTCATGAATCTAATTAATGTGGCTAGACTCACACTCCCCTTGGGTAAGCTTGTTTTTGATTTCATGTAAATATCTTCAGTGTTTCCCAAGTCTGCCACCCAGGATGCATATTGGATAGAAAATTCTCTATTCCAAAATGATGGTGGAGTAAGTGGAAGCTACACTGATATTCTCCCAGGACCAAACTGGAAATAAAGCTAAAATACAGGAAAACTACTCTGAAAAATCTACTGAAGACTAACTGGAAAAAAACCCTGATAACCAAGGACAGAAATTGGAGTCCTCATGGAGACTGGTAGGAAGGGTAGAAGTGCGAAAGAGCTACAGACAGCAGATGAAATTCTGGACGGTTATCTCAGCTGTGGGTGGTTCCCTCTGAGAACTCTTGGGTCTAAATTCCAAGCTGGGCTCCCCATCCCAGAGCACCAGAACTGAGAATGGTGCCCACATAACATCTGGCTGTGAAAAGAAGCAGGGTTGTCTCTGTCAGGGAGAGAGGGCTGGAAATGCAGGCACCCTCTTAAAGGGCCAACTCACAAAATTTCATGTGCAGCCACTCACCTTGGGCTTCAAAAGAGGTAGGGAAGAGTGGACTATAGCTGTGTGATGATAAGCCAGGATTGGGGGATCTAGGGTTGGAGCTCAGAGGGCAACCACCTGGTTTCTTATGCAGAATCATTCCCTGAAACTATGGAGGATATATTTCTCCAGTGGACCTTTGCTACCCATATGGTTTTTGCCAGGGAGGAAGCAGTTGCCCCACCCTGTTGGAAGACCTCTTGCCCTACCCTGTGGTCAATAGCCTGAGGCTAATCAGGATGAATGAATAACAAGCAGACTTGAGGCAGAGGCAGATATTTGAAGGCTTTAAGTCTTTGCCTGATCTCCTTCTGGGCTGGGGCTAGGAAAAGCAGAACCTGGTGCCTATCTGGGTCCTTTCCAAAGGCGCCCACCCCAACAGAGGGAGCCACAAGCTGTGGATTGCTGATGACTCCAAACAGAGTACTCAGGGTCAGTCACAAATTGCTTCTGACATTGTTCTGAACTACAGTTTTGGAGTCATAGCAGATCTACCTAATACATAGACACATACCTGAAGAGGCAGCCAAAATGGGGAAACTAAAAAACAAGCCCCAAATGAAAGAACAAGATAATTCTCCAAAAGAAATATTAAACAAAATGGAGATAAGAAATTTACCAGGTATAGAGTTCAAAATAATGATGACAAGGATTCTGAACACCATGAGAAAAGATATAGTAAGTATGAAAAATGACCAGTTGGAAATGAAGAGTGACATAGTACTAATGAAGAACACATTGGAAGGAATACACAGCAGGTTAAGGGAAGCTGAGAATGAGATCAGTAGATTAAAAGACAGGGTAGAAAAAATAACTCAATCAGAGAAATTAAAAGGAAAAAAAAACAATTAAAAAACAGGACAGCTAAAGAGAGCTATGGTACACCATGAAACAACAATATTCACATCATAGGAGTGACAGATGGGGAAGAATGTGAGAAAGTTATAGAGGATGTGTTTGTGGAAATAGTTGCAGAAAACTTCCCTCACCTAGTGAAGGAAAAAGTCACACAAGTTCAGGAGGCACAGAGAATCCCAAGCAAGAAGAACTCAAACAGGCCCATGCTCAGACACATCATAATTAAAATGTCAAAAATGAAAGACAGAGTCTTAAGGCAGCCAGAGAAAAACAATTTGTTATCTACCAAGTAGCTCCCATGAGACTGTCAGCTGATTTTTTTTTATCAGAAACTCTATAGGCCAGAAGGAAATGGCATGAAGTATTCAAGGTAATGGAAAGCAAGGATCTGAAACCAGGGTTACTATATCCAGCAAGATGAAATAAAGAGCTTCCCAGACAACAAGAGGCTTAAGGAGTTTATCACCACTAAACCAGTACTGTAAGAAATGCTACAGGGACTGCTGTAATGAGAAGAAATATAGAAAGAAAGAACCATAGGCATAAAAAATTAAAATGGCAATAAATAAGTACATATCAATAATAATCTTAAATATAAATTGATTAAATTCTCCAAAAGACATATGGTAGCTGAATGGATATGAAAACATGACCTAAATATATGCTGTCTCCAAGAGACCCACCTCAGAACAAAAGACTCACACAGCATGAGAGTGAAGGAATAGAAAAAAAATTTTTTTCCATGCAAGTGGAAATGAAGAAAAGTTGGTGTAGCAACATTCATATCTGAAAAAATACAGTTTAAAATGAAGGCCATCACAAGAGATAATATAGGTCACTACATAATACTAAAGGGAATGATTCAACAAGAGGATATAATCTTGGTAAACATATATGCATCCAATATAGGAGCACCTAAAGATATATTTATCTGTAATATGCAAATGAGGTTGAGACTTTGTCACAGTCATGACCAGCTCAGGAGGAGGGGCCAGCCTCTGCCCAAGCCTGAGAGATCAACACAGAGGGGCGCCTTCTCCGAGCCTCTGCAGCATGGCTGGGGGCAGGCCCCCAGCGGATACACACACACACACACACACACACACACACACACACACACACACACACACACGGCACCTGCTCTGAGCCTCCGCAGCCAGACTGCTCAGTGGAACATCCCCTGAGGGCTCCCCAGACTGTGAGAGGGGGCAGGCTGGGCTGAGGGACCCCCCAACCCCCAGTGCATGAATTTTGTGCACCGGGCCTCTAGTACAGTATTAAAATTTAGAGAACAAGCTTTGAAGCCAGACAAAGAGAATTGTAAACCTAGATCCACCACCTGTTATTCTGTAACATTGGATGATCTACTTAACCTATCGGACCTTGTGCTCTCCAGTCAGAAAACCGGGGGTGAGCATAATATCTACACATAGAGTTATCATAAAACTTAAATAAAACATTGTTAAAACTTCTAGAGGACTTTAAGAGAGAGATAGTCAGCAATACAGTCATAGTAGGGGAATTTTACACCCAACTGACTTCACTGGATATATCTTCCAGATAAAAAATTAACAAGGAAACAATGACTCTAAATGACACACTGGATTAAATGGATTTAATTGAGATTTATAAAACATTTCACCCTAAAGCTGCAGAATATACATTCTTCTCAAGTGCACATGGGTTATTCTCAAAGATAGACCACATGTTATGACACAAAACAAGTCTCTTCAAGTTCAAGAGGATTGAAATCATATCAAGCATCTCAGATCACAATGGCATGAAATCAGAAATCAACTAAAGTAAAAACACTAAAAATCATTAAAACATATGGAGGCTTAATAGCATGTTATTAAACAATGAATGGACCACAAATTAGATCAAGAAAGAAACCAGAACCTTCCTGGAAACAAATGTAAATGAGTACAAAACAACTTAATCTCTGGGACACAGCAAAAGCAGTTTTGAGATGGAAGTGGATAGCACTACAGACCTACCTCAAAAAAAAAAAAACACAAGAAAAATTAATAATAAGCTATTTAACCCTACAACTTAAAGAAGTAGAAAGAGAACAAGAAAAGCCCAGTGTAATAGAAGGAAGGACATAATAAAGATCAGAGCAGAAATAAATGACATAGATACTAAAAAAAATACAAACACCAATGAAAGCAAGAGCTGGTTCTTTGAAAAAATAGAAAAGATGGATGAACCATTACTCAGACTCATCAATAAACAAAGAGAGAGGATACAAATAAATAATAAATAAAACCAGAAACAAAAGTAGTGAAGTAACAACTGATACTACAGAAATACAAAGGATTGAAAGAAAATACTATCAACAACTATATACCAACAAGATGAACAATGTGGATGAAATGGACAATTTCTTAGAAAAATGCAGTCTCCCAAAAATGAATCAGAAAACCTGAATAGGGCAATAACAACTGATAAAATTGAAGGAGCAGCAGCTAAGTGCTTAAAAATAATAAGCTATAAAGATTTTTTCCTGTTTTTGAGAAAGTCTGTATTGGTATTTGTCGCTAATTTACAGCATATGTTTATTTAGTTTATATGCCATAACTAAAGCATAGCAAATGCCGTTTCCAAACTATATTTTTTTTAATGTTTTATAGTAACTTACCTTTTATTCTTCCTTATTATTCTTACTTATGAATCAACATTAGATTGTATCCTGTTGTATATGCTGTTTGAGCCTATGCAGATTCTCATGACTGGGCTTTTCTATCCATTTCTCAGTTGTGGGTGTTGACTCCTAATAGGTTACGTCTGCCCCCCTGGCTGAAGGAAGATGCGAGGAATTTAAGCTTTATCACCACCACTACCTCAGGTGGCCCAGCCCTCTCCCTCCTGTGGGACAATCTCTCTGTTGAATTCACATCTCAGAGCTCCCTGTATGATCAGGTTAAATCTGGATTCTAAAACCACAACTTTTCATAGCCTCTTGCCTGGCCCTGTTCTGCTTCCCCCTTTGCCTACAAGTTCCTCCTGGGTGCTCTTTCTCAGTAAATCACTTGCTTCAGAAATTTCAGCACACTATGTTTTACACATGTTGAAATCTAAATAAAATACCCACTAGCTATGTGACCCTCTTCAGCCACTTCCTACTTTCCAAGGACTCCAGACTATTTGGACATGTAAAGGGCTTATTTGAACACATAAAGGCATCCAGTACATTGAGAACTAGTGGGTTTGATCAGTTCAGTGAGTCCATTGCTTTTGGTTATGGTTCACAATGATGTCACTTTTGAACATAGGTCTGCATCATCCAGAACACTCTCATTCTCTGCCCTGGTGATACCCTTAATGGCCCCGATCCCTGCCAGGCCACTCTGGTGTCCAGTTCTTGAATTCTAAGATTATATATTGAAATCATACTCACCAGATCACATTTTCCTCCTGATGATGTCGTTTCTTACACGGAGTAACGAGAAAAGCATTTCAGGGATCCATGCATAGGAGGATGAGGTATAGTGGTAAGATTTATTGGAGAAAAATACAGGATTGACCCCAGGTGCCTAGTGTCTCATCCACAACCAGATGGCTCAGAAATGTCTCACAATGGAATAACTCCAGTATCTTGGGCCACAGACATGCTCTTGTCCTCACCAAGCCCATGAGGATCAGGGCCCAGAGATGCAGTACTTCTCTGTGTCTCATTTTCCCCATCTGCACATCCACCCCAAGTCTTCATTTGGGTCACAACCTGTGCTGCACTTGGGCTCAGCGTGGCTGCTAAGCCCGCACAGTTGCTGTGAAGAGAGAGTGTATGAATGAGTGGCCAAACAAACAAAACCCAGGCCTTGGTTAAGCGTCCATTATATTATCTCCAGGTTTGGAAAGAGCAGGTTTTCTTTCAAACTAAACAGTCTCTTTCCTGGCTCTTTGTGGGCTTATGCTGGGCTCTCCCCTGTGCCATCTTCGCTTCTATTGCACATGCCTTATAGTAGAAGGACTTCTCTCTATGCCATCTTGGTCTCTACTGGGCATCCTGCAACAGAGGAATTCCCCTTTACTTGTTCTCCTTCCACCTGGCAATCTATCAGAATGGGCCATTGTCCCCTGGGGAGATTGGAAAGTCAGTGCTTCCTGCCCACTGAGGGAAACAAGATGTTTATCCCCTTGGCAGAGTAATGCTGCAATCCCCTGGGGTATCTGGAAATTCTAGCTTCCTAGTCAATCTTGTTTAATTAGATATCTGCTCCCTTCTGTTTCATTAATATCTAACTAGCTGCTTACACTAATACTTTGAGACCTATATTTGGGGGCTTAGGTCTAAAGGGCATTAGCAACTTGCTGTGATGGAACCTGTCCTCCAGGACTAACCTGCAGCCTCCTATGCTGATCCCTTTTCTCCAACACAGATTGCCTTTCCTCATAGTGAGCTGCCACACGGGAATTTCCTGTTTTCCTACCAAGTGAAATTAGGCAGTCGACCCTGGCAGCCTTTCATAAACTTAAAATGTGGGAGAAAGCACATTCCTTTCATCTCAGCACAACCATTTCCCAGTAGTCCCCTGAAATCCTTATAGCAATTATCTGACCTCATTTTCATAATGCATGTACTAAAGGGTAGCTCCTATTAAGGCATAGGAAACAGTGAAAAAAGAAGTCCTGTTGCACTGTTTCCTCAGTTAGATGCGTTTTCCCATAATAATGAAAATCTACTTTAAGGAGATTTGGTCTATTTTTAGACAGAGTTCACTTTGGAAGATTTTTATTTCAACAGCTCCTCATTACATGTCTTAAGTTCCTTGGCAGGAGAAATCCAGTTTCTGGATAATCTATTCTGCTCAATTGAGCTGTAACTTCATAGTACATTTTAATAGTTAGTAAGTCTTAAACTACTTAAATGTGTTTTTTTTGTGTATGTGTGAACTAGTCTAAAAGATTTAATTTTTTTTCATTAGCTCATGCTGTAAAATACACAGCTAATGTACCTGTACGTTTAAATAACAGTCCAGTTTGCTACCAAATGTTACATCTGATTGGAGAGCTAAAATTGCCCAAGTTATCATTTGACCGTGAATTCATGTATTTTATCCCTGTTCCTTTGGATGTAGCAAGTGTGATGGATGTCAACGTTTTACCTCAGAGTTATTACAGGTAAATGCTTCATGTGAATTTACCATACTTTCTTCGTGTGCTTTTTTGTTTGTATTTGTTATGAGTCATGACAATGTCTAACTTGTTTCTATAATTGGAACTATTAAAATATTTAACTGTACATTTAAGTTAAATTACAAAAAAGCCCACTTAGTTACCTCACAGTTAGTCATTTAATTTTTTTGTAAGAATTATTGTTATGCCTGTCTTTATGGTGTAAGAAACAAGCTTAAAAACTCAGGGCATTAGTTTCCTATTGCTGTGTGACAAATTTACACAAACGTAGTGCCTTCAAACATGAATTTGTTATCTCAGAATTTCTTTGGGTCAGGAGTCCGGGTCAGTTTGACTGTGTCCACTGCAGATGGTCTCAATAGACAGAAATCATGTGATGGGCGACAGTCTTCATCTGAGGCTCAGTCCTCTTCCAAGCTCCCTGGTTGTTGGCAGAATTTATCCTTTTAGTTGTAGGACTAAGACACCATTTTCTTGCTGGCTGTTGGCAGGGATCACTCTCAGCTCTTTAAAAAAAAATTATATATATATAATGATGACAGAGATGTAATGGTTGACAATAAATGAAAATTATTCAAGTTGGAAAGCATAGGACAACTTTTAGTTTCTCAGCTTGGCCTGCAAGATATAATGAGTGCTTACTTATGCTATGGAGCTTGGTCTAAATGCCATTTCATGAGAGAGTATAGTTAAACTTTAACTTGACAACTTTAGGATTTGGTGTTCTTTCAAGACCCTATCTTATAAGTAGAAACTAACCTCGGTTGCTCAAATAGGAAATAAAAGTGGCTTAAATTATTTTGTGCTGCCCTAGCTGGTTTGGCTCAGTGGATAGAGCGTCAGCCTGCGGACTGAAGGGTCCCAGGTTTGATTCTGGCCAAGGGCACATGCCTGGGTTGCAGGCTTGATCCCCAGTAGGGAGCGTGCAGGAGGCAGCTGATCAGTGATTCTCTCTCATCATTGATGTTTCTATCTCTCTATCTCTCTCTTCCTCTCTAAAATCAATAAAAATATATTAAAAAAATTATTTTGTGCTAAAATGCATTATTTATTACAAAACTTTATCTAACATATAAATTAATATTTTTAGTCTTTCAACTTTGGAATTAATGTATAAATGTATCAATTTAAAAATGATCTCAAGTCAAAAGTTGAGCCAAATATGGTACAATAAAATCAACAGCATAATAACTTATCCAGTGACACTTAGATAATTAGCGACAGAATATGATTCAAGCCCGATTTATAAATTACTTTTTCATGTTTTATGCAATTAACCGTATTGGTTTAACTTTGTCAAGTTGAGATCTTTCTTACTTTTGCCAGTTAATTATCTGAATAATCTTTATTCTAATTAAAACATTATAAATATGATTCCCATTTGCTAACACTTCATATTTGCTATAGGAGTCTACACATATAATAAAATAAAACAAACTAATATGGTTAAATAATATAGATCACCAAAAGTTATCAAGTATTAATTAGATTTAAAAGTGAATACTACATACTATGTTATTCAAAATTACAAACATTTTAGATTGGCTGAATAATTTAGAGATATATAGTGAAATATGTGAACATTAAGTGACATTTTTTAGTAATGATTTTAAAATATTCATTATATATGTGTATAGTGCTTAAGAGTATCCATATTTAAAAAGAAATTATGTGTGTATATTAATCTGTTAATATTTAGTCTACATGTGAGAAAGCTCTAGCTATTAAAGTAATTTTTGGTAAATTTTTGTCAGGATATATTTAAGGGCAATACTACTTATATCCTGGCTGTGGTGAAAAACACATTGTATTTAATCAGGTGTTTTAACCCTCTCTTTTTAATCTTTAGAGGACAAAAGGAACTTTTGATCATCTTATGTGGTTCTTTATTAAAATAACATTATAAATCGTATTATGACCAGAAAATAAAAGATTATACAAAATATCTTTAATAAGTGTGCAAAATATTATAAATATTTGTTTTAATTTCTCTAATAATCCCCAAACAGAGGAAAACACATATAAAGCTAATTACTTGCATGCATTGAGCTAATTTTTTTTTTTAATTTCAAACAGAGAATCAAGTATAAAGGTTGTGATTCCCCCAGCACAGCTTCTTGGTATTGATGAAGAGGATCACCCTCTTACTGTGAGTTTTCCAAAAGGCACAGTCATTGAAGCCTCTCTTGATGGAATTAACACTGAACTCATCTGCCGCTTTAGCTTCAAATCATCTAAACCTCTGACAATTGTCACTAATGTTCTTTTCTGTGATGACAGAGATTGCAGGTAAGATATTTAATTATAGATTCTTTTGTTTCTGACAGTAAAGAAGAAAAGGGTTATACTATTTTACGCTATTGTAAAACAGTCAAGGAGATACATCTAAAATAATGATTTTGGACATAACAATATTTTAAAAGTTCCAAATGCAGCGTTGCTCTCATGAGAAACTAGTGGTCACCAGTGTAATGTATACAACTAGGCTGCGTGGGTTTGAATCCTGGCTCTGTTAATTTTGGTGAAGTTACTTAGTCTTCTGCGGCTCACAGTTTCCTCATCTATAAAATGAGGATAACCAATCTCATCCTTAATCATGAAAAATTTATTAAGTTAATACTTATTGAGTAATTGGACAGGAATTGCCACAAAGCAAATGTTAAATAAGTATTAAATGAAAGAGAGAAACATCAGTATAATGAGTTTCTAAAATGTTGATTATTTCATGTTGCTTTAACAGGCTCAGAGAAAGTCAAATACAACTTGGTGGAATCATATTTTTTAATTTCTTACCTTTTAGGACCAGATATCCCCCTTTTACATTATACCCTGAGATGATTTCATTTACCAGTGAAAAAAGGCTAATGTGTACAGCAGTAAAATTTGTTAAAAATGTTTGTTGTGAGAAGTAGCATTGGAGTGAATTGTACACTAAAGATTTATGTCAATATTCTTATTCTATGTGATACTTTTTAAACTTTTAGTGGGATTATTACTATATCATAATATGTATTACTAGAGGCCCGATGCATGAAAATTCATGCACTGGAGGGGGGGGGTCCCTCAGCCTGGCCTGTCCCCTCTCACAGTCCGGGAGCCCTCAGGGGCGGGAGGTGACCCGGCGATCAGGGGAAGGGGACGCCCCATCACACCTCTGCTGCTGCCACTGCCAGCAGTGCAAGCCTCGGCCGGCCCTGGTTACCTGAGCCTCGGGGGGCCTCGTCCAAGGCTTGCTTGTACCTCTGGCTGGCCCTGGGCAGCTGAACAGCCGATAGCCAATGCTTGCCTGCCCCTCGGGCCAGCCCTGGGCGCCTGGGAAGCCACCATCTGAGGCTTGCCTGTGCCTCGGGCCGGT